CTTCCCTCCTTCTTCATCCTCCCCTCTCTCGTTCTCCTTCTGTTTCCATCTTTCTTCCGTTTCTCCCTCTCTCCACCTTTTTTTTCGTGTTTACCTTCATCTTCTCTCTCTCTCTCTCTCTCTCTCTCTCTCTCTCTCTCTCTCTCTCTCTCTCTCTCTCTCTCTCTCTCTCTCTCTCTCTCTCTCTCACTCTCTCTCTCTCTCTCTCTCTCTCTCTCTCTCTCCCTTTCTCTATCTATCTATCTATCTATCTATCTATCTACCTATCTATCTATTTATCTCTATTTATCTATCTATATAATCTATCCATCTCTCTCTCTCTCTCTCTCTGTCTCTCTCTCTCTCTCTCTCTCTCTCTCTCTCTCTCTCTCTCTCTCTCTCTCTCTCTCTCTCTCTCTCTCTCTCTCTCTCTCTCTCTCTCTCTCTTAGCATTTCCTCCTTCTCTGCCTTTTTTTCCCTCTCTTTTCCACTTCCTACCCTTTTCCAATTCTTATTCCGCTTCTCAACGTTTCCCTTTCCCATCTCCCTCTTATCTTCCATTGCCTCTTCCATATCCTTTATCCACCTTCTCTTCCCTCCGATCTTCCTGTCTTATATTCCTATCCAATATCGACTTTCACCCCTCTTTCTCCCCTTCTCTTTATCTCCATTTCCTTTCTTTTTCCCTCTCACATTTCTTTTGCTTTCCTCTCTTTCCCTCTGTTCTCTTCTCTCTCCCCTCTTCCCATGCTTCTCCCTCTCTTCCCTAATCCCCCTTTTCGTCCCTCTCTCTTCTTCTCTGCCACCTCTCTTCCCACCTTTCACCCTTCCCTTCTTCCAGCCCTCTTTCTTCCCCCTCTTCTTATCCTCCCCCTCTCCTTCATTCCCTACCCCTACCCACTACCCCCTCTCCCCCTTCTTTCCCTGCCCCTACCCCCTAACCCCTTCTTTCCCTACCCCCTAACCCCTCCCCCTTCTTTTCCTTCCCCCTCCCCCTCCCCCTTCTTTCCTTACCCCCTAACCCCTCCCCCTTCTTTCCCTCCCCCTCCCCCTCCCCCTTTTGTCCTTACCCTCTGCCCCCTTCTTTCCCCCCCCTAACCCCTACCCCTTCTTTCCGTACCCCCTCCCCCTTCTTTCCCTCCGCCTCTCCCTCCCCCTTCTTTCCCTACTCCCTAACCCCTCCTCCTTCTTTCCCTCCCCCTCCCCCTCCCCCTTCTGTCCTTACCCCCTCCCCCTTCTTTCCCTCCGCCTCCCCCTCCCCCTTCTCTCCCTACCCCCTAACCCCTCCCCCTTCCCCCTCCTTTCCTTACCCCTCCCCCTCCCACCTCCCTCTTTCTGTCCCTACCCTCTGCCCCCCTCCTGCCCCCCTCCCCCTCTCAACCCATCTTTCCCTACCCCCCTTCCCCCCTTCCCACCTCCCCCCCCCCCCCCCCGCTTCCCAAAAGGAAAATATCACGGACTTGGAACACTCGCTTCGTGTCTTACCGTAATCTTATATTGGTTTTCTTAGCTTAAAGATAAAGGAGCAATTTAAATGTTAATATTTTCTATTCTTTGTGCCTTTCATGTGATTATATCATTATTATAACGTATTGTTATTATTTTTTTATTATTATTATTATTGTTATTATTATTATTATTGTTATCATCATTATTGTAATTATTATCATCTTTATCCTTATCATTATCATTATTATAACTTTTTTGTTTATACCATTGTTGTGATCATTATCATTACTATTATCATTATCATTATTATTATTATTATTATTGTTATTATTATTATTATTATTATTATTATTATTATTATTATTATTATTATTATTATTATCATTGTTATTATTATTGTTATTATTATTATAATCATTATTACTATTATTGTTATCATTATTATCATTATAATCATTCTTATCATTATCATTATTATTGTTGTTGTTCTTGTTGCTGTTTTTATTAACATTATTATCATTACTATGACTGTTATCGCAATAATTCTTATTGTAATTATCATTATTCACCATGATCACTACCACTGCTGTTTGGTCTGACGTCATCAACGGTCTGTCAGAAAAAGGATGGATCTCTTTATGCTCCGGAAACCTGTTTGTGATTAATTATGTATCTGTGCATCTCTCATACATGCCTTGCATTTGTATATATATATGTATATATATATATATATATATATATATATATATATATATATATATATATATATATATATATGTATATATATATATATGTGTGTGTGTGTGTGTGTGTGTGTGTGTGTGTGTGTGTGTGTGTGTGTGTGTGTGTGTGTGTGTGTGTGTGTGTGTGTGTGTGTGTGTGTGTATAATGAATGTACACACACACATATATATATATATATGCATTTGAGCATCTGTATTATATGAATAACTCCTAGCATTCCACACGATTTCTCAACACTTGCCTCCCAGACACTCATTCGCGCTGACATTTGGCTCCCTCCCTCCCTCCCTCCTTCCCTCCCTCCCTCCCTCCCTCCCTCCCTCCCTCC